GCTTGCCATACTTTACACTTGCCGCAATAATTTATGGTTTCCCGCCGGTTTGGGCCTTTAAAATTTTTAAAAATTATTATTTAATTTTTTTTTTTTTTTTTTTTTTTTTTTTTTTTTTTTTTTTTTTTTTTTTACATATCGACAAAGTACATGTAGAGGGTATATTACCTCAACATTTGGATCGAATTCTTTCTGTTGGGTTAACATTAAAACGACGGGGTGGCTGTTTGCAGACGCCGCCCAGTGGATAGGAAGACGACCGTCGTCGTCTTTAAGACGAGATAATTTCGGGTCTGCCTATAAACGCGCTGAGTCACATAGAAACCGTAGGAAGTAGAGTGATATTTCACGAGCTTACATTTAGTAATGACTCGACAACGGTAACTGTGAGGGGATGGTCCTAATCAGCGAGGTATTCTCGAGAGAAGGCCTGGCGGCGGCAAGGAGGATAGAAGATCTATTTTATTTACCTTTACCTTCCCGGGCGGCAGCATGTATAGCATATTTTGACTGATCGGATGACATATCGCCTGTCTAGATAAGTATTACGAGTATAAAAATAAAATATTATATGTACAATAGCTTGTCAAATAGCTATGCGGGAAGTACCTACCTACAGAGACTTATCTGAGTTATCACTACCTAGTAGTAGTACAGTGATGTTCCTCAGTTTTGAGTACTAGGTACTTAGGTACCTAGTATAGTAGGCTAGGTATGAAGTAGGTAGATCCACCATCGAATGCTGGAGCGAACCGCTAGCCACTGGTAGCTTAGTGGAGTAAATCCACTAGGAGCTAGTACCTGTTCAATCATACCTGCTAATTAATAGGTAGTAATTAAATTTCCATTTCTTAACTTTTGCCATCACCATCATCCCCATCGTAGAACGACTCGCATTCTAGTTCTAACTGCGCAGTATAAACCAACGCGACGATGGAAATCGCCCAACCGGATCTGAAGAGTCTAGTTATCGATAATTCTAGGCGATCGAAATCTCTCTTCGTAGATTCATCCGGCGAGTCGGCGCGAAAGAAGCTCAAGCTAACCGTTGACGCGACTGAACCACAACTCGAGAAAGATGCTCTTTCTATTCGCTTCCACTCGGAATACCAACATGTTAAAGAACTGCCACCCGCCCTTGCTTACAAGCAAGCAAGCGCTATGAGTGTCAGGAAGAAGGGAAAGAAGCCGACTTTAAATCAACCACCAGCCGCATCCGAAGATCAGAGGACCCAGAAGCTAATTGAAGGTATCGGCGAATCTTCCAGTAACTCGAACAAGCCTCAGCCAAACTCCAATGCCCTCGTCCACTTACGCAAACCTCCCACAAACTCTTCACAATCATCAAATACCACGTCATCCGAATCCTTAAACGTCGCCCGTGCCCAGGCTGCTCATCAAGTCAAACCTGACTGGCATCCGCCATGGAAGCTCATGAGGGTCATTTCAGGCCATTTAGGCTGGGTTCGAAGCCTTGCTGTCGAACCACACAACCAATGGTTTGCTAGCGGTGCTGGTGACCGGACAATCAAAGTCTGGGACCTTGCGACAGGACGGCTCAGAATCACCCTGACCGGCCACATAGCGGCCGTGCGTGGCCTAGCAGTATCTCCTCGCCACCCCTACCTTTTCTCCTGCGGCGAGGATAAGATGGTTAAATGCTGGGATTTGGAAACGAACAAAGTCATTCGGCACTACCACGGACATCTGAGCGGGGTATGTAGTTTGTCGCTTCATCCTACCCTGGACGTCCTCGTCACGGGCGGGAGAGACGGTGCTTCTAGAGTCTGGGATATGCGCACTCGCAGTAATATTCATGTCTTGTCTGGCCATACCCGATCGGTCACCAACGTTCAGTGCCAGGAGGCCGACCCGCAAGTCATCAGCGCTTCGGAAGACCACACCGTCCGATTATGGGACCTCGCGGCCGGCAAAACGATGGGTGTGCTTACCCATCACAAAACCGGTGTACGCGGTCTCGCCATACACCCCACCGAGTTCACATTCGCCACCGGAAGTAACAATAGCATCAAGCAGTGGAAGTGTCCAGAAGGTGCTTTCATGGGTAACTTCGAAGGTCATAATGCGATAATCAATTCCTTAGCCGTCAACGAGGACGTTCTATTCTCTGGAGGACAAGACGGATCCATGAGCTTTTGGGACTGGAAGTCGGGCCACCGATTCCAGGCATTGGATACCATCGCCCAGCCCGGGTCGCTAAACTGCGAGTCCGCAATTTATAGCTCAACCTTCGACCGCACAGGCCTAAGACTTATCGTTGGTGAAGGAGACAAGACGATCAAGGTGTGGAAACAGGATGAGAAAGCGACGCCGGCAACCCATCCCCTCGAATGGAAGCCAACTTTGGGTAGACGAAAGTATTGAAGGGGTTTTCTAGTATTTAATATGCACAATGCGCACGTAAGGACGGAGGAACTTTTGGTATAAAACGTCAAACACAAACTCATTGTGGGCGGGGGTGAGGATGGCAAATAGGGAATATTCACGTCGTGAACCTCGGCTCTGGTATTATAATTTGTGAACTAGAATGTTATACCCAACGCCCTAATTTCGGGGTCATCTCGGAATGCAAGTTTAATCTCCTCGTCGCCCACGGCAAGCCGAATTTTGCTCGGCCGCTCGGCTCTCTGGCCTTCCAGTATGATTATCCCGGCACCAGTCAAGTCGACGGCGGCAGTACTAATCCCCGCCGGCCTTACAAGCATAGACTCTCCCCTCCGCGTAGTGACGTCCGCCCTAGAACTTCTCTTTGCCGTCCGTTTCAGCAAGCTGACCCGCCGGCTCCCAGCATCTATTATGAGAGCCCGGTTCATCTCTTCCATTATGTCGCCGTATGTGCTATCGGGTAGACCTGTCCGCTCGTTCCTCACAAGCAGGGACGCGAGTACTAGCTTGGAGGCGAACGGAAGGGCGCGCAAGTATTGCTGCAATGGACTCGTGGTCGCTTCGTTGATCGCTCGCTTGACCGTGGAGATGGTGACCTTACCTTTGGGGTTTTTCGGTTTCTCAGCTTCACCTCCTTTTGCTCTTGCTCTCGCTCTCTTGCTCGGCGTCGCTGGATCGGGTTCCGTGGACCTGACGTCGGCTTCAGCTAGCTCTACCGCTCGCCGGCAGATGTCAAGAGCGCGTCGCGCATCGCCGCTCACGGCGGCGACCTTGCGACTAGCAAATTGGACGGCGTCTGGCTCGACAATATTCCCGGGCACTCCTTCAAGCCGTGACTGGATTATCTTCATTAGCTGTTCGTGGTTGTAACCAGGAAATGTGATACGGGTCAGTCCCAGGCGACTGCTGATTTTGTTGCTAAGCGTCCTCTCCGGAAGATCCATCGTATTAGCCACAGCAAGCACAATCAGTCGCGAATGTCTTAACCCCGGCCAGTTGAAGAAATTATACATCACGCTCTGGTTCTTCGTAACAAGCTGGTCTAGCTCATCCATCAAGACGACGCAGGGGACTCGGCGAGGGCTCGGGTTATTGAACTCGCGTTCCAAGAGATCTAGTGCCTGGCTTGGGCTAACGCGCTGTCCCTTCAGGGCCTCCCAGAGCATGGCATACGATTGGTGCGGATCAGTTATTTTCATCCCATTGATTTCGACGAAGATAAAGTCATCGAGCTCATCAGATCGCACTGCTTCGTCCAATTTTGACACCACTTCTCGTACAGTAGCTGTCTTCCCAGTTCCTGGTGTGCCGGATATATAAATACACGCGCCCGACCCGTCAGTAATAGCAGCTTCGAGATGTGAGTATACTAAGGAGAACTCAGACTCTCGGCAAGGTAAACTACTGGGAACTGATGCAACATGCAATTGGGCCCTTGCGATCTGAAAGGGGGATGCCTGGTGGTAACTCGGGGAAAGGGTACGGGTGGCAAGCGGAGTGAATTCCAATGCCTTTTTCACCACGACCCTAACGTTTGAGGTTAGTGGATTCGGTTATACCAAATAGGCCACGATTTTTTATTTTTATTTTTTAGAGAAAGGGGGGGGGTAGTAGAACCAATGAGGTTGGTACTTACCTTCGATTAGAAGGCGTCACTACCCGTGTTTGTTTTTGTCGTTTCCTTGGGGTGGTTACCGTTCGACGAACAGCGTCATCGGAATAATAATCATCATCCTGTCCAGGCCGAGTAGCAACATAGTCAGCTTCTAAAGGGGCATCATGTTTGCGCTTCCTCGTCGATCTCGTGTTGCTTTGCACCAGTTCTAGCAAGTCATCTATATCCTCTTTATTTGAGTAAACGTCTTCCCATACGAATTCGTCAGTGTACGTGGAAGTCCTCGTGTTGCACCCTCTCCTACAGATGAAGGTCTTATTGTAGCCTGGTGAGCTACGAGGGACCTTGCTATTAGGATACCTCCGGAGAAACTCATGCTGGGACATAACCACAGCCCTGCCATTGATGGAAGCTAAGGGATTCACATCAGAAGATGGTGTAATATAAAGTTCGTTCTTATCTCAAGTTGGTTAGCAAGGCATACAAATATTGCAAAGGTACTCATCAAGAACTAACCGGGAGGAAGTCCTTTCTTTTCCGGTCACTGTTCCGGATTTCCTTCTCGGTTGAGAACCACAGAAAATTAGCGGCCTTGTCCCCGTCATCGTCGGTTTCACGGAAGCCGGCGACGATAGCTACCCATGCCTCATTCGAACCCTCCGCTTTCAACAGAACGCAATCACCGATATAGCATTCAAAAGTACCCATGCGGGCGCCGATGATGTCGTGCTGGTCATTTCTCTTCCTCTTGGTGGCCGAGTCAGGGGTCTGGGCTTGTCGGTAAACCCATTCCCAAGGGTGGTCATCGATGCCAAGCTCATCATCGGAGTCATCGCGAGCAACCCCGGTGACAGCGGTTGAAGAACGACGACCCATCTGGCATCACTAGTTAGAGAGAAGTAAAGGGAAGACTTAGAGATCAATTAAACAATTTTTTGTTGATCCAATTAGTAGAGCTCGAATGTAGCAACAAGAAAAGATAGTACATAGAGCTAGAGGAAGATGATGTTGCTATGTACCTAGGTAGTGAACTTTGTAGGTAGAGGCAATAGACAGCACGGCACGCGTGGAATGCGAAATACGCGATATGGATTTCCACGAGGTCACGTGTGCAACACGACCCATTATGATGTAAGTACTGCATATATACATATTATGCACCTAGGTAATAATGTAACTATACGTATGTGTAACTTACCCACATCTACTCCTACTAGGTAGCTTACCTTCCCAAGGTGAGAGCAGTCAAGAAGGGCAGTTACTATAATAATGTATACTTAGAACGAGGTAGTTTCTAACGATTTACATACATATCCAATGGTTAACTACCTACATATACTAGGTACCGGTATCTACTACCTTTCTTATGTAGGTATCTCTCTAGAAAAATGCCTGGGACCTGGCAACCTGGGTATCCAGATGAAAATACAGACACCAGACGAACGAGACACCATAACCACCGGGTACCGATAAAGGGTGCAAACACTCATCCATTCTTTTCATATTCCTTACACATCTTCCTTTTATCCTAGGAATGTCCCAACCCTTCCCCGGAATATCTTTTCTCATCCATCAAAGATCCTGCCACTGGGATACCAAATCGCCAGAACCTGTACTTACCCAGTCTCGCCAGCATGGAATCACTAATAGACATGTATGTTCCTTTCATTCTTTTGTTTAGATCGACCCATAGCTCACCTTATTGCCAGTGACTCTCCGTCATCAAAAGACAAGCACCTCACCAATAATAACAAGAGCAAACCTTCTTTGGATCTTCTCCTCGAGGGCTCGGATAATGACGAGCTTGCACTTCGAGACTGTCCTGTTCTCACTACCACTACATCTTTGACATCTGCACCATTCCATTCGATAAACAATGGTCCTGAAACAACTGGCTTGCCAACACCGTTGAGTCTTCCCGAACCCGATCCGATCCATGTTCTACGAAATACAGTAACAGCCACAGACAGTAACACCCGTGGTAGCGAACAAGCGCAGGTACGTACTTCGTTGAAAGCAGCTCCAAATGGCACCAGCTAATGTGTATTTGCTGCCTTCTTAACTCCTTAGGCAAACTTTATCATCTCACAAACTCCCGAGGCAGCTTCCGGAGTAATTGAGGCTGTGCACAAGGAGCTGTCCCGGGCAAATGGTGGTCGTGGACTCGAGATTCGCAAGGCACAGGAAAGCGCATACTTGCGCATCGTCGCACCTTCAAAGAACGTCGCTGAAATGATTAGCGCGGCTCAAGATGTGGCCGATGAACTAATCTCCAACGAGTCTTCTCGAGCACCAGGCATTTTTCAAGAGCCTCCAACTAAAGTCGACAATGCCTGCCGAGTTGTTCTAGATGTCAATGAGGAATCTGGGGAAGTACGACCGAAGCTACAGCAAGGACAAGGAGCCGCTTCTAGCACAGACGTTGCCGAAAATTTTGATGAGTACGCGGCGAAGCTAAACGATCGTGTATGCGCGGGACTGAAGAAGGCCGGCCGACTCCCTTTATCATTGACGCTAAGGGTCCACTTTGGCAACTGTATGCTAAAAACGTACCCGCAAGGCAAGGAAGTTTATGAGTACCGTGACTTCTGTGCCATGATGAGAAACCCCCGTGCCTCAGCATGGTTAAAGACATCGTCAGTGCTCAGATAGTTGAGGTTGTAGAACTTATTTGGTATGGCTAACACTTAACCAGGATTGGCAATGAAACACTTGCTAAAAGAGTATTGGACTTTATCAGAAACGACCCTAGAAGTCCATTTCTTCCTACTGGTAACCAGTTGGGCTCGCCAGCGAATGTCTTACCAGAATACGCCTTTGAGGCAAGATCGCAACGGACGAAATTCGACATGGCCATCAAAAAGAGAACTAGAGGGAATACAAGAAATAGAGCCTCTTTCCAATCGTACCACATAACGGCGTGTGGGGTGGACGCCACCTTTGCCGAGCTTGACATTCTCAACCAAAGCCTAGGAAGGTAAGTCTATAACATACCTAGTATGGATAGTTATCCGGTACATTGCGTGATCTAACAACAACGCTAGAAACCTCGATTGGAAACTGGAGGCAGTGAATGAGGATAAGAGTGCAAAAACCTTTCCGGAAGTTGACAAGTACCTGCGAACAGCCAATATCGAGCTAGTGAACCTGGATCGACCTCACGACCTCGACGTCTACCCACGCGTCAAACTCGAGCCGATCAACTCGGTCGCGGCAAAGATCAAAGACGTCGCGGTCAAGACTTTGTATCGCTTCAGATGGAAGGAGACGTCATATACTATCGAGGTGGCAGTTAATCATCGATGGAATAGCATCGCTGCCATGACAGCGGAAAGTCTGCCGACCATTGACGTTGGGGTTAGCGTGTTTGGGCAGGATTGGGATTCAGAGGAAGAGTCCGCAGGCAACATATGGGGCGACGAACTCCAACATCTACTCGAAGCCGGGAATGGTCATGTGACATCTACAGGCGTCCAAAGGGTTGACAATTTCATACAGGTCATAAGGGATATTCGCAATACCATCGATCCCATCTTCCAGAACCGATCGGGCGAAAATGGGGCCACAGGATATTAGGAAAGAATTTGCTAGGGCAGTGTCTACATGTTCACAGCTTAGCGTCAGGGACTTCTTATTAGGGGGCCTAATAGCTACCGAGGCTAACCTTTGAACTCACTACTCCTCCGCTTCTACGGTGGCGGTGTTTGTTGGGCTCCGCTGACCATCTTCTGCCTCAATACTAATGATAGTAATCGTGTTAGCTACCAACGACGAAAAATAGCCAATAAACTAGAGGGACATGGACAGACAGTACCTTCCTCAACAACACGGACGTTGTTTGTTTTTGCTTGCACGATCGCTTCTAGATCCTTGATGCTCGCACCAACCTCTCCCACCTTATTTTCGTAGAAGCCCGCTGCCGATTTAACCTCCTAGACATCTAAGTTAACATCATCCTAGTATATATGACTAGGGAATGCATGATTTTCACCTTTTCGACATAGAAACCAGTGCCTATATCAACTACGACATGGGACGCGCTTGACAGCGACCCACGTACGTAGAGCGAGTTGGTAAGGGGGACAAGGATCGCGTTGTTCTCTGTCATCTCTCAGATCACTAATTCAATTTTCCAATGCGTCGGGACGCGCGGGGTGTAAACGTACCCCGAAGAGCAGGCGACTTGTTCTTGTCTTGAACACAACGCAGACAGTCTCGAAACTTAGCTTGTGCGGCGTGTAGCTGGGCGAAAGAGGACGTTAGGTGTTCGAGTTCCTCGTCTAGCTGCTTTTTGACCTGGCTGAGTTGCTGGGCACTCAGACTGTCGAGGTTAACTATTCGCGGAAAGATATGTTAGCTAGTCCATAGAAGATGGCAATAGATCGGCGGCGAGGGTAGGCACACTAGTTTCATTGTTACTACTAGCCATTGTGCATAGAGAAGCCGAATATGAATACCGTTCTACAGTTGCAGATATCTAGCAGTTTAAAGAACAGTGGCACGTTTTGGTTTTGGGTTTTTGGGTTAGTTTTTTTTTTTTGGGGGGGGGGGGAGGGGGGGGGGAGGTAAGGAAAAGAAAGTCAAGATAGTATTGAAGCTAATATGTAGATATATTATGCATGCGGGAATGTGGGGGTTATGCTAATTACCCGGGCTTTAAACATGGCAAATTCCAAGTTCTGTAACTAAGGTACTAGGTACTAGTACCTAGTAGTGCCAACACTGTGACATCATGGATACCTAGTACCTACCTATTATGTAATCATTTTAAAATGCCACTTCTTAGAGTGGTCCAAGTTACCTAGTACCTATTCATTTATTAGATTTGACTTATTAATTCCCTATTTGCATTACTAGCTAAAAGGCATAATAAGGTTAGCAAAAACTATCTCGAATTGAGTACGAGTTTCGAGACGTTTGACCCAAATATGCAATTATTATCCACTTTAGCTCTATAGCCAGAAGGCAGGTAAAGTCCCTTCTTCTCCCCGAACAAGGAATATGCCTGGTCTAATAAGTCTCATATATGTCCATTGTCGGCTTGTAACATATATCTTTTCAGAAATGGACGCTCTCGTCTATTCCGTTAACAAGCTTACCGGTGTGCCCCTGTTGCCGGATTTCCTGTATAACCTGGTCGAGGCAGCCCGTAGTGGCGGCTATAAAGCCGAGATATGTAGGTGAGGGACCCAGAACACGGGAAGTAAACTCGGGGTGTGCCTGAACTCCAACGAAGAAGGGATGTTCCTTCAACTCAACCACCTCCATACGCTTGCCTGTTTCATCCTTTCCTATGAAATTGAGACCGGCCTTCTCGAGCTCTTCCACGTAGTCGGGGTTAACTTCGTAACGGTGCCGATGTCGCTCATCCATCCCGTCGACATCTCCGTATAATGCCCGGAGCTTACTCCACTCACTCCCGGGTTGGAAATGAGTTGTCTTCGTGCCGAGTCGCATTGTACCACCCATTATCTCCTTTGATCCTTCCGGCATGAATATGATAACCGGATGCTCGGCCTGGGCGTCAAACTCTGCCGAGGTTGCATTCTTATAGCCGCAGAGATTTTGCGCGGCTTCAATAACGGCGACTTGCATTCCAAGGCAAATACCCAGGTAAGGAATTTTACATTCACGAGCCCATTTAGCTGCCTTGACCATCCCTGGAACGCCTCTACCGCCAAATCCCCCTGGGCAGATGCCTTCGTCGATGATTAGCTGCAAGCACACAGGAGAGGAGGAGGGGGAGCGGGAAGAAGTGTGAATATGTGTGATGTGCAAGCCATATCTCGAAAATGGCATTCCGACACACACATAGTCATCCAACCATCTAATGATATCGGGGTGGCAAATTGGATATAAGGGACGACGAGTTGATGATACTTACATCCAGAAGCAATGGTTAGTTGCGACCAAGCCTTGTGATAAGTGGTGGGGTCGCTCTGTAAAGTGGCATCTTCCAAATGCTCTGCGTCAATCCAAGCTAAGTTCAATTTCCGATTGCACCTCATTGCTGAGTGTTCTAGCGCTTTGATTACGGAAAGATAGCCTATACACATTCCAGGTTATTTACTGCCATTCTGAAAACACCTCGCGGGTAGAAGACAAGTTCTGGGAATGGGGCCTTCAAAACGTCGTAGAATTACCGTCGTTTCAAGTTATGGGAAGGAGGGTGGGGGTATACATACTATCGGGTAGTGCAATGTATTTGCCAACCAGGGCGATGTTCACGGGCTCTAGATATGGTTTCGAAACAACAGTCTTCTTCCATAGTTGCCACAAATTTTCACCTTTGTTGATCATTGTTGACGGGAGAGATAGCTCATCTAGCATCAGGGCCTCTCGTAAACGGTCAAGTAATCCCTGATCTTCGAGTAGAAGTGGTACCTGATAAATAGTTTCTATATCTCGAACCGTAAGAACTTGCTTGAACTCCACTTGACAGCTCCGGGCTATCTTCTGGGTCGTAACCTCGTCAAGAGCACGTTCGCAGCGACAAGCAATCTACACGAGACATTAGCTATCGGTTTTTTAATATTTCCGGTGTACTAACTAAGTCCGGTATTAAGCCTGCGCTTCGCATCTGCTTGATGGCGTGCTGGGTTGGTTTTGTTTTTTCTTCCCCATGTATGATGGGGACATAAGACACATGGATATTGACAAGATTTCCTTTGCCGACCTTGTATCTGAATTGGGTCAATGCCTCGACGAAGGGCATGCTCTCAATATCGCCTACGGTACCACCCTATCCAGTGACAGTTAGGTTTTAAGTGAGCCCCAAAAAGTATCAATGGGGTATTCAAATAGAAGCATATGGGAACATACTAGTTCAACTGTAGCGTTATACAAGTTAGCAGCAGCCAATAAATAATATTTGGAAAGGAAGCAAGAGAACTAAGCATACGTACTAATGCAGACATCGGGCTCTTCGCCACTGTCATCGACGGGTATCTTCGCTACGCGCTGGATCCAGTCCTGAATAGCATCTGTGATATGAGGTACGACCTGAACGGTACGGCCAATGTAGTCACCCTTCCGTTCTCGTTCAATCACGGCTCTTTACCGGCTTCCATGTTAGCGCTGACCAAAAGTGGTATTCAACGAGGAAGCTAACTTGTAGATCTTGCCAGTCGTGATATTGTTTTCGTTGGTAAGATTGAGATTGAGATAACGTTCATAGTTTCCTAGGTCGAGATCGGATTCGCCCCCATCCTGGCTTTCTTTAGTATGACTGCAAGCTACAGCTTAACAGGTACGATGAATCACCTTGAGAACAAAGCATTCGCCATGTCTAAGACAAGCAATACGAATTAATTTTGCAATCTACACACAGTCTTAGGTATCTCACCTACTCGAGGGGACCTAGCGTGCCGGCATCTACGTTAAGATATGGGTCAATCTTAATTGCCTAGAGTCGATGTGGTTAATAAATACACATTGTATTCCAACAATAGGAATTCATTGACATACCGTAACTTTAAGACCAGTTGTCTTAAGTAAAAGTCCGGAAGAAGATGCTTAACAGAAAATTTTAGCTGACTATAAAAGACTCGGGTAGCTTTATTTCTTTGCTAGACATACCTATGATGCCTGTATAAGTCCAAGTTAGCGACTAGAACATAGCTAAAAGGCGCTTTACAACAGGCCAGAAGTGAAATGTGACAATAGGAAAACAGATCTGACTATCGAACCAACTTGCAATGACCGCTCTGCAGTGACACATAGCATTGCATGACATCATAAGAATCGTAAGTGTAAGCAAAATCGTCGTACCTTTTCCAATGCCACTAATGACACCGCCGCTGACCAAAACGTACTTCATCCTGCTGACGACTTGTGACGAAATCTGGAGTTGATAGGTACGGCACCCGTGCCGAATACGGGCAAAAGTGCGTCTACGAGAATCCTATATATTTAAGGGAATTGGTGAGGCTAGATATAAACAAAGGGTAATAAGATAGAATGGAGGAGATCTGTAAATTTGAAGTCCCCAGAACAAGCAAACCGAAGAATTTGAAATTCTTACACGATTAAGAAAATAGGAAAAAAAGTTTACTGAATTGATCTATGTAAACTATGACAACCCCACTACTGATTAGACAACTTGATTCTATTTTGGGAAGGCGGTGAAAGATTAAGCTTATCTGATACACACTTAAGCTTTGGACATTGACTTATCAAGATACGTACTTTAGAGGGGCACAGGCAGACCCTTGTCTTTACCTAAGCTTCCATTTGTTTTTGGTTTTTTTTTTCCCCTTAAGATGGAGGGGAAGGAGGGGTGCTCTTAATTGACAAGTGTGACTCAAGCTTTGCCAACATCGAACAGCTACATATGCGACATAACCGAAACAACTTTAATAATATGCAACTCTTATACTGACAAGTAGAACAACGCAACAACAACGCATGAAAAGTATAATAACAGTTCTTTTTCACAATCGAGAATGGAGTCCTCGACGGTGAGCCCATCTCCTTACGGGGACCTCACTAGCCACATACTCCGATCTCTTGATAAATCTTCGCCCCTGCTATCCGCCGCTGCCTTCCCAACCGCCAGCTTCGTCGAAGTGAAAGCATCTCTGGATCGATTAGCCTCACGAGAAATGGTCGTGTACGATACTATAGAAAGAGAAGAGGCTATACTAGAATCCGAGGGCGAGCAGATCGCTGCTGATGGTAGTCATGAGGCCCGCATATTCAGTGCCTTACGTGCTGCCGTCGATGGTCTCACCATCCAGGATCTAGAGAAGACCATCGGGGACAAGAACGTTGTTAAGATAGGACAAGGAAGGGCATTCAAGGAGAAGTGGATATCCAAGACTAAAGGTGCGTATAGAGACGATCTTGTACAAAATTCGGCGCGGGGACTAACCGACAAATTTTAACTGAAGACGGCAAGTTCAAGGCAGCAATGGACTCAATACGAGATACAACCAAGGAGCAGTTGCAGACCATTAAGGATACACGAACATATCCGGACGCAAAACTACTGGCTGACCTGAAAAAACGAAAGCTTATCAGGATGCAGAAGATCATCAGCTTCAAAATTCACAAGGGTGCCAAATTCGCGCTCAAGATCCCCGAGGAAGCTACGGATCTAACCGCTGATATGATTGCTACCGGCTCGTGGAGGACGGCCACATTTAAGCCTTACAATTTCAAGGCTTCAGGAGCAGATCAGCACTCAGGTGCATTGCATCCGCTCAACAAGGTCCGTGCCGAATTTAGGCAAATATTCTTTGAGATGGGATTCGAGGAGATGCCCACTGATAAGTAAGTTCTCAATATTAAGAATTGCATTTATCTATATTCATTAACTAACCTACACTTCTATCCCAGGTTCGTTGAGTCGGGCTTCTGGAACTTCGACGCTCTCTTCGTTCCACAGCAACATCCAGCTCGTGACCTACAAGATACTGTATGTCACATTAACTTTTATCTTCACCCATACTTTATCTTGCCATTTATTTCACTGGATCTCGTATTAATCGCCGCTGTTAAAAAAGTACCTTTCTAACCTATTTTTGTGATAGTTCTATATTTCTGACCCAGACGCCGCCGAGATACCACGAGCAACGTCGCTCGAGGACGAAAAGGACTACGGTGCCTATTGGGAAAACGTGAAGGCGGTTCATCAGGTGGGTACTTAAACTAATTGGTTACGCTTGACAGTCTACCTTGCATGCCCAGCGAACATCCCTCCAATTCGTACACATCTTTCATTCAACCAAGCAGGATATTCTAACTTCAGCCGGGGACAGAATGGCAAGTATGGCTCGATCGGCTACCGTTATCCTTGGTCGGGTGATGAATCCTTACGACTCGTACTTCGTACCCACACGACAGCTATCAGCGCAAACATGCTACATAAATTAGCATCAGGGAAGGGACCGGATGGACGCCCACCTCCGGCCCGTTATTTTTCCATCGACCGAGTGTTCCGTAACGAGAGCGTTGATGCAACGCATCTTGCCGAGTTTCACCAAGTCGAAGGAGTCATTGCTGACAGAGATCTAACTTTGGGCGGGCTTATGGAGGTAAGGATAGATGTTATAGATCAATGTTTTACCCATAGCAAATGAAATTATAGCTAACTATTTTTAGTTCATGGATATCTTCTTTGGCAAGATGGGCATAACTGACCTCAAGTACAAGCCAGCATATAACCCTTGTACGTAACCTTTGAAATATCCCTTCCACTGCCCAATCACTTTTATAATTTTGGGAGTAATCACGTCCTCCAACCCACCTTTATTACGTGATAGTTGAAATACTAATATCTCATAGACACCGAACCCAGCATGGAGATTTTCTCGTACCGTACGTACTCCCTCATGATTAATGTTCTCATGTTATACAACTTATAAACCTTGAGTTTGTTCTAACCGTTTGACACTAGATAAGGGCCTTGGTAAGCTCATTGAGATAGGAAACAGCGGTATGTTCCGCCCAGAAATGTTAGAAGCAATGGGCTTTCCGTAAGTAATTCAAATTGTTACGTTAAAACGACTGCCATAAATTATTCATTATTAACTTATTTAACAGGAAAGATACACGTGTATACGGATGGGGTCTTTCGTTGGAACGGCCAACGATGATTAAGTACGGAATTTCTAATATTCGCGAGTTATTAGGTCATAAAGTGGACTTGAATTTCGTTCAAAGCAGCGCAGCTGTACGGTTAAATAAAGATTAAACGATATGCCCGAAGTTTACTAGGGTTCTTGTCTCGGAGTGGAAATAAAACTTTTGCCCGATTAAGACTAGTGAATTACTTAAGTAAGAAATAAGAAAATGGAGGACCCCCTGGTTGGGGGTTACAATAACCCGAGTTTTAGGAGACCTCCGAGGTTTAACCGTTACTCACTTTGCTCCATCCGAAGGTTCGATTTCTCGATTCGTTTATTCGTTTAAATCTTTTTATATCGTTTCGTTTTCGTAAAAGCGTTTAATTAACTGTTCTCATATTATTAATATTAAAATAACCCCCCCCCCCTTTTTCGAACCCGTATTTTATTGTTTTTTCCCGGATTTAATTTTAATTTTTCGATTTTTTTTTATTAACTTCGTTATAAACTTTTATAAATTTTTAACGATTTTTTAATTTTTTTTTAAATTTTTTTTATAATTAATTATTTAAATTTAAATGTAATTTTTTAATTATATAAATAATTAAATATTTTTAAATTAAATTAAAAATTTAATTTTTAATTTAATTAAATTAATTTAATTAAATAATTTAAATTTTTATATAAATTAATTAATTAATCGATTAATTAAATAATTAATTGAAAATTAATTATTTAAGTTTTTTTTTTAAATTAAATTAAACATTTAATTTAATAATAATTTTAATAAAATTTATAAAATAATAACGAATTTTTAATATTAATTATTATTTTATAAAAATATACGTATAAATTATATAAATTTTATTTAAATTTAATAAATAATTTTTTATTATTTTATTTAATAATATATACATTATATAATATATATATAATTAACGTATTTATATAATAATTTTATTATATCGATTAAAACGTAATATTATTTTTTTAAATTAAATAAAACTTTTAAATTTTAAAAATTTAAAAAAAAAATAATTAAAAAATATTTTTTAAAAAATTATAAAAAATAATAATAAATAATTTATAAAAAGTTATTATAAATTAAAAAAAGTTAATAAATTAATTAATTACCGAAAATATTAAGTTTTATTACGTATTTAAAATTTTTTATTTATTCGAATTAAATTTTTATATAACGATTTATAAAATAATTTATAATATAAATATCGAATTTAATAATTACGCGTTATATAATAATCGTTTTTAAATAATAAAAAATTAAATTAATTTTATAAAAAAAACTTTTATAATTAAAATTAAAAAAATTTATAAAATATAAAATAAAAATTTAACGTAATTTAAATAATTTATAAATTAAAAATTTATATTATAAAATCCCGTTTTTAATTTATAATAAATAAAAATAATAACCGTATATAAAAAAAATAATTATTTATTAAATTTATATATTACGAATTTTAAACGTAAATAAAAAGTTAAAATTAATTAATTAAAATTTATTAAAAAAAATAAATTAAATTAATTATTATTAATAATAAATAATAAGTTAAAAATTAATAACGAAAATTTCGATTTATTATTTAATTTTTCATTTAATTTAAATTTAAATTTATTTAATAATAATTTATTAAATTTTAATAATAATATTAAAAAACATTATAAATATAAATTTATAAAAAAATCATAAAAAAAAAATTAAATAAAATATAAATTTAATTAAAAATATTTTAACTTTTTCATTAATAAAAAAAATTATTTAAAAAATTAAAATAATTAATAAATATATTATAAAATATTAATATTAACGTTAAAAAAAATTAATTTTTAAAATTACATAAACTTTACGATATTTAATAAATTAAAAATTATTAAAATTTTAACACGTATTTATTAATAAATTCCGTTAAACTTTATTATTAAAATAAAAAAAAATATAAAAATGTTAAAAATTTTTAAACGAATTTATATTTCCACCGAAAAAACTTATTAATAAAACTTATAAAATACATTTTTTAAATATAAATATAATAATAAAAATTTTATTAAATATTTATTAAAATAATAATTAACCGTACGAATAATTAAAAATGCGGGAATAAAATTAAAAAATAAATAAAAAATTATTATATTTTTTATTAATTACGATAAAAAAATTAAAAATTAAATATAAATAATTTAAAAATTATTTCGAAATAAAAAATATATAATAATTTTTAAAATTATAAATAACTTCGTTAATAAATTTAAAAATAAAGTTAATAAAAATAATAATTATAATAATTATAATAAAAAAAAACGTTAATTTTATTTAAAATAAAAATAAACTTAATAAAAAACCGAAAAAATTTACCGATAAATTATTTTAAAATACGAAAAAGGATTATTTTATTATAAATATAAAAAATATAATTATTTTTAAAAAAATTACTTAAAATAAAATAACCGTAATTAAAAAAGTAAAAATAACGTTAATAATTTAATAAATATAATTTAAAAATTAATATACATTTTTTAATTTTCGAAAAAATTTATATAATATATTTAAAAAAATAACGTAATATATAATATAAAAATAAATTAAATTAACTTAAATATAATAATTTAATATTATAATACGGTTCGATTTAATTAAAATTTAAATTATAATTTATTAATTTAATAAATTTTTAAAAAAGTTTTAACATTTAATAATTTATTTATTATTTATATATTAAATAATATAAAAAATAATAAACGTTTTAATATAAAAAATAAACTTTTATACGATATTAACGTAAACGTTTATATTATAAACGATGTAAATAATTTTATTAACGGTATAATTATTAATATAAAAAGTAAAAATTAAATAATTAATATTAATAAAAATTTAATGTTTATTACGAAAATAAAAACGAATATTTTTAAGTTTAAAAAACGTGATAATAAATATAATATTTTATATTTATATTACATGTTATACGTAATTAATTTTCTTTTAAAAATTTTTTTCGGTAAGTTTTTTTATAAAATTAATGGTTAAATAAATCGAAATTTTATTATTAATTTTAATAATATAATATTAATAATATTTAACGTTAAAAAACGTAACTTTTTTTTTTAATAATATAAAAAAAAAAACTCGAAATAACTTTTTTTTTAATTAATAAAATTATAAATTAAAATTAATAATTAATAAAATAAAAAATGTAAAAATTTTTTAATGAAAATTATACTTAATAATTTATTAAACGAAATAAAAAATAAATTAATTTTTTAATATTATTATTTATATTATTTTAATATTAAAAAATTAAAATAAATCGTTAAACGTATAATAAAAATAAATTTAAAAATATTTAACATTTTAAATTTATTATATTTCGCATGTAATTAAACGAAAATTATAAAAATTTTATTAAAAAATTTTTAAAAACGAATAAAATATATTAACGAAATTATTTAATATAACTTTAACGAATTAAAATTAATTTTTATTAAAAATAATTAATATTTTATATTAATTATTAAAAATTATAACGAATATAAATAATTTACCGTTTATAAATTAAAAAACGAAATAAATTAAATATTTATTATTTATTTTATTTAAATATTTAAGAAATTTTTTATTTTACTTTTAATTAATAATAACGTTTATAAACGAATAAATATATTAAAATTAAACGGTAAAAAAAAGTTCGAAATAAGTAAAATATAAAAAACGTATAAAAAAATAAATATATAATTAATTACGTTAATTATATATAATTAATATTAAAATAATAAAGTTAAACGTAACATTTAAATTTTATAAAATATTAATTAAATTATAATTTTAATTATAAAAATTTTTATTTATTTTTAAAATTACGTTATAAAAATAATAATTTATATTACGAATAAAATGAAAATAATAATAATAAATAATATTATTTTATTCGAAAATTATTAAAACGATTTTAAAAAAAATATTACCATAACGGGAACTTTTAAATCGCGAGAATAATTTTAAACTTTATAAAAGTATTATATGTATAAAATCGATAAAAATTAAAAGAAATTATTCTTAATCGTAGAATAATTTTTTTTAATTTTTATCGATTTTATATATGTAATTATTTTATGAATAAAATTATTTTTTAATTTAAAATGGTTTTTTTTAATTTTTATCGATTTTATGTATGTAATATTTTTATAAAGTTTAGAATTTTTTTATTAAATATATAATTTTATAATTAAGAATAGTTTTTTTTAATTTTTATCGATTTTATGTATATAATATTTATATAAAATTTAAAATTATTTTTATAATTTAAAGTAAATCGATTTAAAGTAAATTAATTTTAAATAAATCGATTTAAAGTAATTAAGTTAATAATTTAATTTTAAAGTTATTTAATAAATAAATTTATATATATATATTTAAATTAATTTAAAAGTAAATAAATTTATTTATAATTAAGTTAGTAATTTAATTTTAAAGTTATTTAATAAATAAATTTATATATATATATTTAAATCGATTTAAAAATAAATAAGTTCGTTTATAATTAAATTAGTAATTTAATTTTATAATTATTTAATAAATAAATTTATACGTACGTATTTAAATTAATTTAAAAGTAAGTAAGTTTATTTATAAATAATTAAATTAATAAGTTTATTTAAATGTATATTAAAAGTATATTTATACGTACGTTAATTTAAAAGTAAATAAGTTAATTTAAAAATTAATAAATTAATTAAAACGTATATTAAAAATAAATATATTATACGTACGTATTTAAGTTAATTTAAAGGTAATTAAATTAATTTAAAAATAATTAAGTTAATTTAAAAGTACGTTAATTTATAATTAAATAAGTTAATTTATAAATAAATAATTAAATAATTACTTAAATACGTACTTTAATTAAATAATTTAAAAGTTAATTATTTAATTAATTATTAAGTAAATAAATAAGTAAATAAATAAGTAAATAAATAAATAAATAAATAAATAAATAAATAAATAAATAAATAAATAAATAAATAAATAAATAAATAAATAAATAAATAAATAAATAAATAA